AAAAAAAAAAAAGAACACTCAAACAAAGCATTACACATTCCATCACCGACTGTACTAAACCTAATTAATCTGATTCACGCGTCCCAGAACTGAACAGCACCAATCATTTACCATCACTCAACTAAAGCTATCAGGCAGCTAACCAATTAACGACTGTATCACAAAGAATTCCTTACTGCGCAGCTTACGACAATCAAATCAATCGGACAGAACTTGAATGAAAATCGAACTCAATGGAAACAACAAGGAAAACAAAAACACCAAAATCAGCTAATAATAATAATAATAATAAACAATCAAAAACTAAGCATTGCCTTGAATCTGCGACCTTCAGCGACGTGCTGCAAGCCGGTGACAGCCTGAAACTTATTCAATTCTCTCGCGTTCGGAGACGGAGCCGAGGCGAAGCATCTTCCCATCATCTCAGATGCGTTTTGCGCGTGTTTGGAGTGTGTAAATTTGGGGGAGAAGTATAAATCGGGTTCGCCTTTTTTTCACGTACAGTGGCAATAATGTAATTGTGTTGCTAACAAATAAACCATAGTTTTCAACACAATTTTTTTTTTTTTTTAAATACAGACTGTAATTAGTCGGAAAACAACCACTTTTTTCCCGCTTGTTTTTCATTCTTTCTTTTTTTTCACCATAAGAGTACTCATCCTCAAGCTCTCTAGCACGCACAACAGACACCTTCTGGAGACGACGAACAATCACTTGCTTCTGTTAGGTGATTTTCTTTTTCCTCTTCTTTTTTTTTCTCATTTTTTGATCTTCTGTATTCTAATTGCTTTGTGGAATTTCGAATTCATCTCCGATTAACACCCCTGCGTGTAAATTATATTTATTGTTCAGTCATCCCAGTTTTTGGACGTTTGAGCTAGTTTGTTGTGCTTGGTATCCATTTTCGTATGCAAGTTTTTCTGTATGTTTCTATTGATTGGACAATGTTATCAATATTATACGCAATTTTCGCTGTAAGTGGATTGCTTATATGTCTTAGCATCTCCATGTTGGCATTTTGGAAAAATTGTTTGCCATGGATGATGGATCTGTTGGCTTGTACTAAAGATTTGCTCAGTTTAAGTTAGGTGTTAGCTTAAGGTTAGTGTTATTCGATTGTTCCAGTGACCTATGTCATTGACTCGGAGAAAGTAGCTGGGTTGATTTTGAGATGTTATTACGTGAGTCGTAACCTTCAGTAAACAGTTCTTTCAAGTCGAAAATGTACTCATTCTGGCTTAATTGTTTGGAGATAATATCATGGTCTGTTACTATATCGTTTTGCTGAGAAGTTTACTTTCTTTGAACTCTTTGAATTTGTATGTAATTCATGAATTAGTCTGTTAAACAGTTCTTTCGAGTCGAAATATGCTCATTCTGGCTTAATTGTTTGGAGATAATATCTTGACCTATTACTAGCTCTTGTGTTGTTGAGAAGTTAACTTTCTTTAAACTCTTTAAATTTGTATGTAATTCATGAATTAGTCTGTTTTCATTGACGGTTATTGAAAGTAAATGATTGCAGGCCGTTTGCAGAGACTTGAACAATGGATGATGTGGCAATTCAAGAAGGTGAGAGATGGATAGTGGTTGCTGCGTGTGGGTCCGATTCGGTCAGGCATTTGCGTGAGCTCTGTGAACATCTGCGTGGTTTAGGGAGATTGGGCCATCGTCCGGTTAATGTTGCGGTTGTGTGTACAAAATCTGCTCTACAAAGCCTTAACTGGCCTCCCGTTTCTGCACGTGGGTTCAAGTTTTACACAGACGATGAGCTCTTGAAATCTATGGGTCCCGACAAGTTAAATTTTCCCCCCTTCTTTGGGACACTTTGGAATCAAGCGGCTTGCTTAGTCGTTGCCCCATTATCGGCAAATACAATGGCTAAGGCATGTTGAATTTTTTTGTTCTTTCCTTTTTTTTTTCATTTAATGACTTGTCTAAGGCTTGTTATTTTTCACTCGCTTGTTTAGGTATCAAATGGGATGTGTGACAACCTGCTGACATCTTTTGTAAAATCGTGGCCTTGCGAAGGGGAACTACGCAGGCCCATTATCTTCTGCCCGGACGTGGGGGAAGGCATGTGGGCCCACCCGGTAACTCAGCAACAGGTTGACACATTGCAGGAATGGGGTTTCGTGGTAAAACCCCAAGGCAGTGGCTTGATGGCCGATGTCGAGATTATTGCTCGACTTGTGGGGCAAGTCATGGGATGGAATGATTGATGGTTGTGTTACTGATCGAGAGTTGTGTTTGTTTTGCTTATTGCTGTTAATATGCTCTTTCGTGATCTTTTGCTGGTTTTTTTTTTTTTTTTTTTTTTTT